AGTCTTCTAACATGGTACTTTGTTTCAAATAAGGGAATCGAGCACTGCCATTTATATGAGTTTTATTTCAAAATCACTTAAATTTAGTTTGTTATTATCATCATCGTCATCATTTTAGTATTTGGCTTCAGAATAAGTTTTCTTCACACTTAATTCATCTGGTCTTTTAAAAATGTTCTGTATAATTTTTCATATCTCTTGATTCTGATTTGGTGTTATTTCTTCCAAATCTGATCTGAGCATGGTAAATTTACTTTTGGCACAATACTTAATTTTAATAGTTTCCATTGCATTTCCAAGCAAATTTCCTTTCCCTTTCAAGCAAGAGGTGTTTCGTATCTTCTTTATAATCTTTAGACAAAAATTGTTCTCTGCAAACTCACATTCTTCTCATTGATTAAATCCTGTCTTCAACATTAATGTATTCATTTTTTTTGGGGGGGGAAGCATTAAATAAAATCTTACATTCCTTTCTTGTTTTTATAAATGTTATTCAGTGCATGCACCAACATTGCAAGAAGACATACTGCATAAATGGTACTTTACATGCAGCACAAAATTTGAAAGGAAAACTAACTATATATTTTTAAAAAAATATAGAAAAAATAATCCTAGAAAACAAATATACATGATTAAAATTAATCTGAGGTATCCACCCTAAATAAATACTTTGCAACAGATGGAAGGGCAATTTAAAATGCATGATACCAGAACTAATGCAACAGAGTATTTATTATTAGATTGCTACATGTTAACTCTGCTTCTGAGGTTCACTTCGACAGAGATTCAGACAAAGTAACGGAACTAGCCCTTATTCTTAACCCTGAATCTGATTGTCATAACCTTTTATTATATATTGTTACGAAATGTACAGGCACGGTAAGATGGCTTCCCCGCAAAGTAGTTTTAGGGTTGCCATATTTGGCGATAAATTGCCTGTTCGGCTACAAAATTGGCGATATACCATGGATGGATGGAGAACCTTCTGGAACGAATTCTTACCGGTTTAGCCCAGAATGTTCTCGAACACAAGCCAAAAGCTATATAAACCCTGCTGGTCCGCAGTCAGAGTGTACCTCGTCTAGAGTGCAAGATAGTTAGTGTCTCGAGTTAGTAAGTCCATGCGGAGTGGATCGAGTTTACAGCCGGGCAGCGAGTGCACCGAAGGCGTCTCTTGGTGTATCGTGGTTAATGCCTCGTCGAGAGAGTTGTTGAGCTCCGGGAATGACTGAACCGAAGAGTCGGGAGCTGTGCTCTGTGTGTCGTCGAGTGCATCGCAAGTTGTAACGTGGAAAGTCTCGAGAGTACGTGGACTTCTGAGAACAACCGAGCAGAGTCGGGAGCTGTACTCTGGTGCTTTGCAGTGAAGCTGTCTCCACCGTTATAGCCTGAAAGTGTGAAGGCTGTTTCGCTGATTGTGTCAGCATGTGTACAGTAGTTCTTCAACGACTGTTAAACGGGATTTTTGAGCTGTCCTTATTAATATTTGCTAAATAAAGTATATGTTTCAATATTCCATCAAGTGCTGTCGTCGTTATTCACTCGAAATTCACACGAACTCTGTACGAACGTGAAGGAAGAAAATAATGTAACGACTGATGTCGGAAGGTAACGTAATAATATCAACAAATTAATAGCATAGTGAGCAAAATAATTTGTCTCATTACTGAGAAATCAGTTGTAATATCGTTAATGAGGGGGGGAATCATTGAAAACAGTTCAAAATCAATAGTTTGATGTGTGCTTATTGATTGCATTTATATTCATATTTTATTAGAAATAAACTGAAGTAGTTTTTTATACAGAATTATTGGTGGAAAATTCATATATAATCTCTGATGCACTTTTTAATTTTTCCGGTTATCAACAATGAAATGTTTTGAAATTAAAATTTTTATATTCAGGTGTGGATGTATTTTTATAAGTTTATTTGAAAAGGGAATTGTGGCGTAAAATTTTTATTTGAGGTAAGTACAAGAGAGGTATATCGTCATTGTCAGACCAATATCCTCTATGTGCAAAATGTGTAACTATGAGTTATTGAATAAAAATGTTCTCCTGTAAAATTTTATAAAGCAGATTTTTGAAAACTAATTGAAAGTTGTAGGTGTTATACATTATTTTTATTTGATTTTTGGTGTTCAAATGTAATAATTTATTTATTATTGCTATGGGTACAAATTAGAATAATTTGTAGCAGATTATTAATTGCCAGTTATTGGCACATGGCAGGTATTATATAAAAAAAAGAAAGAACTTATCTAATTTACATTAGTATTTTATTATTGTTGAACAAAAAAAAAAAAAAACATTTATTAATCAGACTGCTACTCTAAAGAATCATAAAAGGAATGGTAGTCATGGCCAATAAAGGGTTTAAGTTACTGTAACTGACTGAACTGAGATCTAGTTATTTCCAATGTATCGTCATACAGTGTTGAAGGTTCAGGATATTCTTGAGGAAGACGCCTTTGTTGAGGAAGTATTATATAATTATGTGGATGGTGAAGTTTGAAGCACCTTCCACTATTAGATCTATATAAAAGTCTCTGATATCATATTCAGTGGGATAACACCTTTTTTTAACCAGGTCAGATAGACTAAAAATTGGTGGTTAGATGCTTGTAAATGAACCACTCTGATATCATACGGTTGTTTGGGTCGAGCCTGGCGCATTCTCGTTATATAATTTTGTGCATAAATAGTGGGCTTGATATAATGTTCTTCAATGGAGTGCACACCAATGACCTCCATTATTGTGTGTCCCTTTTGTAGTATAATTTGTTCCACTTCTACTTTAAAAAAAAAAAAAAAAAAAAAAAGCAAAATCACTCAATGCACTGTTCAAAACCTTATTTCTATTTTGATAGTCACACCCATCACTAATTATGGTAATGCTTTTATAAGAACTGCATGTAGTTTTAAGGTAATGATACATCTTGTAAATCTGTTGGATGTAAGCCTTCCATCTGGTTTGTGCCAAAATTAAGAATGAGAGTTATAAAATGTAAATTTATGACACTGCAGTTTCTGTTTATAATACAGTGCTCCTGCAAGTAAGTTTGGTGCTAAAAAGAATACTTTGCATGTCAACAGATATCACCACATGATCGGGTGTATCCTTCAAATTTTCTCTAGCTTTGTTCTTAGCGCTACATGCTTCATCTTTTTGTTTGACATGTGTTTCATACTCATTTTGCAAAGCATTTTTTTAACTGAAAACTGGAGTACACATTGCATTGATCCTTTCTCATTTTGTGAATTGAAATATTATCTTCGTTAAGAACATTTAAAAAGGCATTTCTCAACATTTGTTTTCTATTTTGTTCAACGCACCATGTTTTCTAAATTGCATGCATGTGCAAGTGTGATCGAAAAGTTGACTCAACATAAATGCACTTTGATGATGCTCGTCAACAGTGACTTTTGGCACTTTTGGAAGTAAATTCAACCATTCAGACACAGTTGCTTGTGCATTTCTATTTGTGATGATACATGAAGATGTACGTTTAAAGTAAGGGTTTCATAATCATCTGTCGTACCTGCTGTTGTTGGACTATCCTTAACCCAACATAAGAATGAATCGTGTCCGAGATCACGTGTGTTTTAAAAAAAAACAATCTGCACACTTTTATTTTGGTATTTTGAAAATCGGACTTTGGCACAAATATATCAAAACCAGTTTGTTTCCTGGAAGTAATACGATTATCACGTTCGTGTTGCTTATGTAAATTTCTCTTAGAAACTGATCCTGGTACAAAAGCTTTTTTCACCCCATGACTTCATATTCTAAAAAGTGAAATGCAACGCAGCTCTTTCTTCTTCTGAGATCAACCCGCACACGAAACTATTTTGCAATTTTTGCAGTGTGATTACAACAAATTTTCACATACTTGACTTCTTTAGGTACACTTTATTTTGCCGTCTTATAGCCCATGTATTGTTTACCCAGTAAACGGCAATATTTTTTTCTAAATTGATGGTGGAGGCTTGAGAGATGCTTGGCATGATATCGTTGCTCGCAAACAATACCGGTACTGATAACTGATTGTTTGATGAATTGTCATCATCATCATTACTGTAAATAATGTAGCTCCTCTTCTTTGAGGTTGTAGAAAATGGTGAGCTACTGTCTGTTTCAGGGAATGGACTAACTAACTGAAATGTTCTCAACACGAACGCCAGAAGATGTGGACGGTTGACTGCTCTCAATGTAATTTTTAAAAAAATCTTGAATCAGAGAAACTGATTCTCTTGGTATTTCTTGGCATAATACATGCTGATTTTCCTCTTCTGAACACTTATTGTCACTGACTATTAAAACTAAATGAACTATTTTCTTTCCTCTATACATTTTAGGGTTCAAAAATAAATGTATGCTTTATACTTTATAACCTGACAAAGTGTACGTTACAAGCTTATACAACTAATCAACTGAAGGCTTGACAGCAATGAACTGAATCTGCCATGCTCGGCAGAATGCCAAGACGATCCTATTCATGCTGTAGGTAAAACAGCTATGGTGGGGGATAATAATTGTTGTCAAAACAACACTTACTGAAGTGTTTTGACTAACCAACATAGCAGATGTTTTACTAACTATTACAGTTGATTTTGGTCGAATAAAATATGCTATGTGCACATTTGTTATGTAACAGTTATTTGAAAATATTCTGGATCGTGCACATAGCATATTTTTTTAACAACCACAGTTCAGTGTATAATGCAGTTGATTAGTTGAGTCGCATAGCAGTCATTTTATAAGAAACTTTGCTTAGTAAACTGGTCAACATCTCCAAATAGTGAACATCAGATATTGGTTTGACAGCGATGATATATCCCTGTGGTAATATAAAGCTATATAAACGCAGGGGTATATTTACCATTGTCTGTTATATGAAACTAAAGGTAACAAATTTTTTAGTCAGTGTCCCTAAAATGTAAAATCATCTATAAATGTATTTTTAAATTGCTTGTATTAAATTTCATTCTGTCTTCAGATGGCAATCCTGGCTGGACAAATTTTGAGGAGCATCATCATCTTCTAGGTAATGATGATGAAAACAGTGAACGCCATTCTAGTGATGATGATTTTGATATCTGGTCAATAACTGAAGAGCAGAGGGAATATTATATAAATCAATTCAAATCCATGCAGCCAGATCTCAAAAAGAAAATATCAGGTTGAAATTAATTTTAGCTTCAGCTTTGAATAAAAATTTTTCATGAATTATCAATTAAGAATATGATAAATATTTCCATTCTTAATTTTTCAAGACATTTAAATAATTTTTCCTTTGTTAAGTTGCCGTAAACTCAAGCATATTTTCTTTTAGGGGCAACTGCCAAAGAATTTTTTGAAAAATCAAAATTGCCACTAGTTGAATTGTCAAAAATATGGTAAGTTTTTAAAATGATTCTAAAATAAATAAGTATGCTTGATATATTATTTTCCTGTAAGTTAGAACAGAGAAAACTTTTCAATAAAATGGATTTTTTGTAATTATTTCTAACGTTTTGATAATTTAATAGAGTTTAATATCAATTAGTGTTATATAGTAAATTAAACGTACTTTGGAATGTTGAAAAGTGTAGTTCTAAGAAAGTCAACAAAGATATTAAATTTTTTAATTAAAAAGATGATCATTAATTATTTAACAAGTTTTTAACAAATATGAGTTCACTTTCATTTGGGGAAGATAAAGGCATTTGTTGAATACCCAGTGTTTATTATAATATTGTGTAATTTCGTTTCCACACTGTTACAGGGTTCGTAGCGGTCCTTACAAGTGCTTATAAGTCCTTATATTTGAAAATAAAATATAAAATCCCTTATAGGTGCTTACTTTTTCTCTAAAACACTTACTGTTTGTTTTTAGTGTTTTTTTTTTTTTTTTTTAAGAAATAGCTTTTGCCCCTTTCTCTGCATTAACATTATGTGCGTGTCATTCTATTGGTCAAAGAATTTCGAGAGCGGTAGAAAATTCCGGTACATTCCATATTTTTTTGCTCCCACCCGATACTACACACGTTTGAATTTCTATCAAGATTTTAATAATTTACATTCTCGTTCCGCATGGTGAGTTCATATTCACATTTATTATGATCGGTATGTTCATATTACGAACATATTACGATGTATGAATATTTATATTAATATATTTGCAGTAACTGCTAAAGTATAGATAAACTTCAAAAGTGGTTTTTTTTTTTTTTTTTTTTTTTTTTTTTTTTTTTTTTTTTTTTTTTTTTTTTTTTTTTTTTTTTTTTTGTCAATGCATTATACAGTACGGAAGTTAAGGGTTCTCCCCTTTCTCTGCAAAATCTTGACTATTGAAACCGTTACAGTTCGCAGCAAAGCAAGCAAGGACTTTTGGGGGGGGTCCCTTTCCCATCTGCATTGAATGGGACTAAAAGTTCTGTGGTCTACCAACCCAAAGCGAAAAATGATTGTATTCCGGAAATTTAATGCAGTTTTTTCAAAATTAGAATGACAAGCACCCCTGATTGGTAAATCTCTTTATCAATCCGACGTGTCCTGCTCAATGATAAATATGCCACATGGGCGCATGGCGGTGAAAACCAGAAGAAGCAAAGAGGCGTTTTTCCTTTATTTAGTTATTTATTCTCCGAATACCGGCAGTTGTTGATTCCGATTGTGTAATATCACGTGCGGAAGAATTAAGGTGCACATAATGCGCAATAACGTTTGCGATATTTCACAGAAATAGAGTTTCACTGTGCTTGCTAAGCAGATTAATTTTCAGTTCCATTGGACTATTTTTTATATGATTCGCATATCAAAATGTCAAGAGCATTATTTAGCTTAAAAATCTAAAGAATGGCTACAACCTACCCTCCCTTCCTTTCCACTTTTACCAGTTACGCTCGACTATTCGGAATTTTCAGATATTCGGAAATTTCCGAGTATGCCGGTTAGTTAAGTTTTTACTGTTAAAGGATGGCTGCATGAAGAAATTTTCCATCTTCTGATTTCAGAAAAGCTCCTTTTGATTTAAGTTATTTAAATATTAATAAGAGTGGAAAAATAAATTGTATTTATTTTAGGTGCCAAGCGAATATAATAACTATGGTTTCTTTATTTTCTCTATTTTGAACAGAAATTTTGTCATTAAATCTTGTAATATGATTTAGTTCTGCATATTTTTTTCCCTCTCATTGTAAACTAGTTCTGTGAATTGAACTGTTATTTAAAATTATAAAAAAAAAAAAAAAAGAATGTAATTGTTTTCCATGGTTGAGTAATGCTCATTCTCTCTTAATTAATACTGAATTTCTCATATTTTAAATTACAAGTCTAATTTCTTTTAAGATCATGCAGTTGTGTATAATGTAATTAGACATATGCTTATTTTTTTACCTAAAATGTGCTTGAAAAGTGCTTATAGGTGCTTATTTTTTTAACTAAAATGTGGCTACGAACCCTGTGTTAATTAATTACTTTCAACATAATTTTTCTTATTAAATTTTGTTTGATCTGAATTGCCTTTACCTACTGTAAACATTTATAGAACTAATAATGAAAATTCAACCAATATTTCATACTTGATATTTGTTTGTAATTTTGTTTTACATCAATAAATGGTGCATTTGTAAATTTATTCACTCAGTAGTATGTGCATGAGTTATTAATTTTATTTTCATCATGTATAAGAGTACCTAGGCAAAGCTCTTCTTCAAGATTTCAAAGTCAGAATTTTCTCCGCTTAAAATTATAAAAAAAATTACTAAATCTAGTTACTGTAAAGGCCCTTATTTTCACGAGCCCGTCGTAATCGCAAAATGCTTTTTTTTTCCCCACCTCAAATAATAATAAAAAATCAGAAATTTTTCACTTACCCAAAATTTAATGATTTATTTCACAGTTACAATCTTTTTCTTCACAACTTTCTTTCTTGTAACTATTTTTTGAATAATATACAACTATATTTCTCGAATATAAAACAATAAAATTAATAGAAGGCAGCTCATTCACTTAGAATACTATTTATACTAGCTTCTTGAAGCCATTCAAAATTATCTCATGTTTGGCTTCAATATCGTTAAATACCGCACAAGCCAAGAAGCCTGAATAGGTTTTAGTTGTGATATTCGCAAGTCCACAGATTCTTTATCCTCTAGAAATTAAAGCTCATTACAATACCACTCAATAAACTCATTCTTGAGCAAACGCTTGAACTCACCATTTACAGTTAAGTCCAAAGGTTGGATCTCTCCTGTGCAGGAAGCGGGCACAAAAACTGGAATAATATTCCTCTTCTCTAGTTGAGTCAGAAAAAGAGGATCTTGATGTGGTTGGTTAAAAACGTCAAACGAATCAATCGAATTTTTCAACTTCCTCAACTTTACTTAGGTACTTTTGAAATTTTACCACTATTACAAATTAGAATACCACTCAATAAACTCATTCTTGAGCAAACGCTTGAACTCACCATTTACAGTTAAGTCCAAAGGTTGGATCTCTCCTGTGCAGGAAGCGGGCACAAAAACTGGAATAATATTCCTCTTCTCTAGTTGAGTCAGAAAAAGAGGATCTTGATGTGGTTGGTTAAAAACATCAAACAAATCAATCGAATTTTTCAACTTCCTCAACTTAACTTAGGTACTTTTGAAATTTTTCAACTTTTCGTTCTGTTCATAAAATTCACGAAATCACTGATATATTCATTTTCACGAAAATTACGGCTTGCGAAAATAAGGGCCTTTACAGTATTCAAAAAACATAAAATTTTGAATATCTGATTAAATATTAATATATTTTACAGCAGAATCACATTATAAAGTATTCACTAGTAAAAGTCATGCATTATAAAATGAATTTAAAGAGTCAGTTTTGAGTTTTTTTTAAAATGACAGCAGAAATGCGCAGCACGGTAACTTCTTGCTTTTGTGCGATAACTTTCCAGTTTTTCATATTTTATGGTTGGCAGCTATAAATCAGGGAAATCAACTCAAATCGTTCTTCTTAAAAAATAAAAAGTTAATTTTAAATAGAACAAAATGTAGTTGTCTTTTGTGGGGGGGAAGGATACTTTCTGATTATCTTCACCTCCATGAAAATTTAATCATCAGGCAATGTAATATGTTTCAAAATAATCATATTGCAAAATACATTGCGCAAAAAAGTATTTATATGCAGATCTAGGTTATATACATACCACCTATCTGTTTAGTATACATGGACTTGCACTTGAAATTCAGCCTTTTGGGCGGGGAGGCAGGCATTACAAGTATTTGTTTTTCTCATAACAAATTGTAATGGGGCTGTGGAATTTGCTGGCTAATAAAAAAGAAAATGTTGCATGCCTGCAGAAACAAAGTATTTTGTCCAACAACTAAGATTGCAAAAACTTATACTCTGTGATATTTTACTTTTTTATAAAGACCAAATTTTATGGAAATGACATGAAAAATTGTAAGAAAAGGTATGAAATGTGGCTTGGAAATTGGTTTGAAGATAGCCATATCTCGTTTACCACAGCTTTATTTATTGTGGTCCAGAGCACGATGCCAAATTAGTACGATTCTGTGATTTTTTTCAGCTAAAACTGATTGTTGTGTACATAGTGAGAACAATACTGCAAAAGAGTTACAGAAAAAAGTAAATATTTTTTGCTATTTTAATTTTATTGATTGATAACTATTTTAAGGCATATTTAATTTACAGCCATTTAGATAGTAGCTTTTACCTTTCATGTGCTAGATTAGCAAAAAATGAATCGGCAGGAAGTTCACAATTTTGCGGTATAGGAGTGCATTAAATTAGAAAGCACCAAATGAGTTTTAAAAAAAAAAAAAAAAATGGAAAGAAGCAGCACCAAAGGGGGATTGTAAGATTATTAATTAATTTTTTGGTGGAAATGTAGATAATCAGAAATTACCCCCCCCCCAAAAAAAAGAACATATGACGAGTAAGTAATCTTTAGTTTTCTTTGCAAAAAGTTTGTTACCCACCTCATATTTGACACAATTTTACCATCTCTCTCCATGTGTTAAAGAGCTGTTTGTCACTTATCACTTTGCAAATCCTGCCCTTCTTCTCTTTAATTGTCCCTCAGAAAAAGTAAATAGTTCAGTTAAGAAGTCATTATTACACTGTGTGATTGCGAAGTTTTTATATAAATGATGTATGGTTATAAATTTGTTTTGCAGAATTATTAATTTTTTCTCAGAGTTTATTTTTAAAACACCCTACAAGCTCTCTCTCTTATTTTTTTTTTATTTTTTTTAATGTGTTTCCTATATCTGTTTCTTTCATTTACTTCACAGTTCTAAGGAAAATTAAATATTTCTAATGTTCTTAATTGTACTGTATTTTAAAGGCATAAAATTTAATTTGGTAATTAATGTTTGATCAAGGAAATTGTTCTCTGGTGATGGAAAATAGAGAACGCAAAAGTTGAATTTCAATGATAAATAGTTTTCTGCTTTGGTGAACTGTATTCTTTAAATCTTTTTTATTCACCATTCAATACTCTAGCAACTATTTCTCTTGTATTACTTCAAGTACATTACACGTGCACTCCCCCCCAAAAAAAAATTCTTTCACTTTCTGGTAAAATCCTTTGTTTTCATAACATAACTATTTTCTGTTAATGGCTGCATTATTTAATAAAGAAATATTACTGTGTTTTCTTTAAATATTTTTATTCTTTACACAGTAATCATGCAATATCTGAAAAAATCCATTAGAAGAAATTGATCCTAAAATTGAGTATTTTTAGTTTTTCTTGAAACAAGAAATTCTTGCATTCTAGTTGGGAGATAAGTTTAAACACTTGACTTGCGGGAATTCTATCCAGACTTTTTTTTTAAATCGACAACGCTTATGAAATAGTAGCTTAAGTAATTTTGTTTTTTTCCAAACTGATGTACACTACAAAGTCTTTAATCCGGACTCGTCGGGACTCCGGCGATTCCGGATTATAGATCATCAATTTAAATCTGGTAAGATGGCATGCAGAAATTATACAATTAAAAATATGAAACTGTAATTTATGAAATAAAGAGCAATTATGATCTAAAGGGTATCAAAATTTACAAAAAAAAAAAAAAAAAAAAAAAAAAAAAAAAAGCTTAATATATATTTGTTTACTTTATTAAACATTTTTCTTTCACGTAACTTGTTTATGTTGCTTCGTTTTATGTGCTAATACTTTCTCTTTAATTCTATAAACTATCTTGCACTCACTTTCATTATTTCTTGTTCAGTTACAAAGTTCCACTGTTCGAGTCCTCTAACTACTGTGCCGAGAATACCGATTAACTTGTCAAACGAAATTTTTTCGTTTTCACTAACCTCTCTGTCACTTTCTTCATGCCTTTATCCATTTTTTGCAGCGATTCCACTTTTTGTTTGATGGACATTGAAATATGCTTTCGCTTTCTAGATCCTTTGGCAGCTCCAGAATCGGAAACTCTTTTTGTCATAATCGAAAGTTCAAGCTTACTTTTTATAAAATTGCTTTAACAGTCTGCAAAAAATAATAAGCCGGATACAATTAGAAGATTAAGGAACAATGCAAACTGCAGCATTAACTGAAATAGATAATTAGATAATTTTAGCCTAGCTTATACCTTCCGTTATACATTAAACACGCATGCGTAAACATATTATGCACATGCGCAGAAAGTTTTTAGCTTTGAGGTCCGGATTATAGATCATTCCGAATTATTCCGTGTCTGGATTAAAGACTTTGTACTGTTTTAAGACAGGCTATTTAAAAAAATAATGAAATAAAATATTATTATTACCCAGATCAGAATTATTCATGAGGGAAGATGAAGTTCGGTTTTTCTTTTTGAAATATTATATATTCATTTTTTACACCTTCTAACATGTATCCTAACATTTTAACATATAGCCATCCTTAATCATCACATGCATAAGATCACATAAGGATATTTGCATAGGAATTAGTTAAAATGGAATACCTCTTTAAAGCTTACCTCTGCGAATAAGAAAAACAACATAATGTGAAATTGTAATAGGCATAAACAATGTTAATAAAGGTGTTCTATCTACAGCATATATAAGATATTTTTCGAGTATAGTGAAAACTCAACTGAAATCTCAGTTTTGAAATGTAAAGAAAAATTATACTGAATCAGTGTGTACAAAATCCTCTTCATTTTCCAGTTTTTTAATCAGCCTAGTGTTACAAAATGTCCAGGTGCAGTAAGAGAGCTCCTTCGCAAAGCAGTTTTAAGGTTGAATGGCAAGGGACGGCATCTTTGTCACAATTGGCGAGAAATCACCCATTTGGCAACAAAATTGGCGATGGATGGATGGAGAACCTTTTAGAATGAATTCTTACCTGTTTAGCCCAGAATGTTCTCGAACACAGCCAAGAACTATATAAACCCTGCTGGTACGCGGAGAGTGAGTGCAAAGATAGTTAGTATCGAGTTAAACAGTCAGTCCATGCGGAGTCGATTGAGTTGACACTCGGGCAGTGAGTGCCGAGTGGGTCGTCGAGTGCATCGAAAGAGTCTCTTAGTGTATCGAAGTTAGTGCATCATCAAGAGAGAGTGTTGAGCTCCAGAAACGACTGAACCGAAGAGTCAGGAGCTGTGCTCTGTGTGTCTTCGAGTGCATTGTGAGTTCTAGCGTGGAGAGACTCGAGAGTACATGGAGTTCCGAGAACGACCGAGCAGAGTCAAGAGCTGAACTCTGGTGCTTTGCAGAAAAGCTGTCTCCACCGTTATAGCCTGATATTGTAAAGGTTGTGTCAGTGTGTTTATAGTAGTTTTTCAACTGTAAATGTGATTTTGGAGCTGTCCTGGTTAATATTTGCTAAATAAAGTGTGTTTCGGTACTTCATCAAGTACTGTTGTCGTTATTCACTCCAAATCTTTGTGAGCTCCATAACGAATATACCAAAGGATGAAAAAAAAAGTAACACTATTTTTTTTTAATATAAGTGCATATTTTACAAGCAAAATAAATTGTATGCAAAATTGGTAAATTCCAAAATAAATGTTTAGTAATGATGTAGTATGTGATTTACTGTTTTAACTTAGTTATTTGTTTTTAGATGGTGCCACTAAAATTGGTTGTTGATTTAATCATTTCTTTTAGTACCATCTGCAATATTATTAGTATTCAATCCGTCAAGTGGTACTTTAATGCTCAAGCAGTTGAATGTTGCTCAAGAATTATATATCTAAAAAGTCTACGCAAGTGTGAAATGTCGCACCACGGATATTTTTGTGTTATCTCACAAAAGCATGGTGGAGATTCATAATAAAAAGTGTTGTGCAAATTTTTGGCCATACTGTGCAACATTCATAATGTGTGGCTGAATGACGGATGAAAAGTAACCCTTTTAAGGACCACTCCTGTTTTTATTCTGTAAAATTGGAAGGAATTAAAATTTAATGGAATTAGAGATTTAATAGGTTAATATTAATTCATTAATGGAATCATTGTCACTTATTGTATTCTTAATTATTTGTATTTATTTTCATATTAAAAAACAGTGTGTTAGTAGTACCATTAAAAAAATTAATAAATAAATAAAAGCAGTAAATCGCATACTACATCATTAGAAAAATTTCTGCTCAGGGTTTACTATATGAATTCGTTATTGTATTCATGTGATTTGATACCATTATTTCTTAAATTCTGATACTAATCTTATATGAATATTGTAAGTGATTCAAAAGGCATTTTGTAAAGTTGTCCACATTAAAATGCAATAAGTAAGATTCTTTCATGAATTATGTTTTAATGTGTTATCTAAAAAGAATTTAAAATATTTTTTTCTATTTCAATAAAAATAATTTTTTCATTAGTATTACTTTTTTCCTATACATATATTATCATTGATTTCTATAATCACTTAAAAATAATTTTATAAAATAATTTGTTTTATAGGCAGTTATCAGATGTAGATAAAGATGGTGCTCTTAGTATTGAAGAATTTTGCACAGCTATGCATTTAGTTGTTCTTAGAAGAAATAATATTGATTTACCTGATGTTTTACCTCCTTCTTTGGTTCCCAAAATTCCAAAGACTTCAGAAGGTATATGTCAATAATTCTTTGTATGTACGTGCATGCGCACAAGCGAGAGAATGTGTGTGAATGGCCAAGTGAGAATTTGGGAATGTTTTGCAGATAGGATATTGAAGTTATGATTAATAATATTACTTTTTATTCATGATTGACATACAGTTTTCATTAAGTCAATGCAGATAAAAGACAACATAAACACTTTAGCCAATCTAAATAATTCTGGATTGAAAGTGAAATTGCAAACCATATCATTTTGACTTTTCTCCCAAGCTTTCCTTATGAACGTACTACTATGTTCCTGCTTTGCTTTTTGTCCAGTTAACATGTCACCGCTCACCGTTTTCTTCCATAAATTCTACAGAGGGTGATTACTCATTTTTAGAACTAATTTTGATTTAAAAAAAAATTAGAAAGAGCTTATGTTTTGGAATAAAAAATTCTGCTAGCAGCTTATTTGAAATAAAAAATATTGTTTGCTACTTTTAATTTATTCTTGGTTCAAATTGTTGTATGTAAACAAGCTGTGAATTGAAGGATATGCTTTCTGTGGATATGTCAAGATCCATGCAGACTTTCAAAAACATTTTCTTTCAGTTATTATTCAGAAGCATTTGTGTACTAATATAAAGACTTTTTCATGACAGTTATTGCTCACAAAAAAAAAAAAAAAAACTTGCCCTTGTTCTGAAAAGTATTTTGCAATGTTGTTGATTTTGTGATGCTGTGGCATGCTTGTGTTAATGGGCATGAGGAAAGGGGTTCCCAGACAAAAGCGCACACGACAAAAGCCCACAAAAAGGCCCACTATGATAATTGCCCACAGCAATGAAAGCGCACACTGATAAAAGCCCACATCGATATAAACCCATGCTGATAAAAGCACACATTGATAAATGCGCACCTAATCAAAAGGGACTTATGGTTTTTATTACTATAAAATGTATTTATAATTTTAATTATAATGAATGGAGTATTCAGGTCTGAATTTTAATGTCTCAAATATATGTCTGTCTGTATATTTTATCACTACTTTGTTTATTTAATTTATTAGGTTGAAAGAAAACTTTCTGCTCTCTGAATGATTTTGATGATAAATCTGAAATTGCATTTTATCATTTATTTACTTATTTAACTTTGGTTTGAGTATGTGAAAATGAAAAATATCATTGTGAAGTTTCTCACATGCTATTTTTAAGGTAATATGGTTGAGATTAAATATAATTATGCTTCATTATTAAAACATTAACTTTTTAATTAAAAAACACTTGAATTTTATTTTCTTCTTTTTTAGTTTTTCCTTTAGTTCCTTTTAAGTTTGGAAATATTAAAACAGTTGAACACAATGAAAACTTTGTTAAGAGATATCTTATTCTTTACTTTAGACTGAGTTTATTATCAAAGTTTAAACATATTTCTCATTGAAAGCTTTTTTGAATGTAACAATTATAATTTGGTGATTTTCTAGAAATATTTTCTTTCAGATTTCTGAATAAATTAAAACTGTCATCTGACACCCTGTCAGGAAATGAATTTCAAGTGTAACCTCTTAATCTTTCAACTACAGCAATTTGGAATAGTGTTTTTAATTTTCATTTTATTTATTTAATTATTTGGGGGGGGATGGAACAACTATTAGAAGTCAACATATCTACAAATTTAAGTAGTACAATCATCTCAATCTATAGTAGTAAATATGCAGCATTTTATTAGAGTTTGCGAAGATTACAAAGAACTATGCATATAATATTATCTAATAAAATTTTGTAACTACATGAATATATACAGTCATCAGACTCAAAGTTCGTCGTTTTTAGATGCTAAGTATTCATATTATATAAATTCATCATTCATTAATAGTATTATGTATAGTAATAGAAAATTAGTATTAGTGTTTCAAATTGCAATTTTTTTAATAATTTGTCTTGTATTTACTGTATATTTGTTCAAGACGTATGGATATCAGTTATAAAACATGAAAAAATACACAGAAAGCAGCTAATCTTATATAACAGCTGATTGTGAAAGAAAAATTACAGTTATAGTGCTTTTAAATCTTCCTGTTGTAAATAGCCGTTTTCTAATTGACATTAGATTAAATTAATTCCATTTCCATTAGAAAATAGTTACGGTGAATTATATCTATTGACAACATTTCTAAGAGGTCGCCTTTTGAAAGAGACCAGTATTTTTTGTGAACATTTAACAAACATTGCAGTGAATATTACATTTCTAAGACCATCATATCTACAACCAAAATCCTTTTAAACCGTGAACGGTTCCGTTTAAAGAGGACTCACTATATTTTTAATAAAACAAATACATCTTAGTTATACATTTGCTGCATTTTGATTTTCTGTCAAATCAGAGGAATAGTGGTTCTATTTCTTTAGAAGTATGTGAAAAAAATGGGTACTATATGACAAAAATGGAATTAGATTCAAAAACACACCTCTTGAACATGCCTGAAATTCATTATTCTGCTCGGAATAAATTTATCTAAAGGAAATGTTTAATAAGTATTAGAACTCAAAGGCTAAGTCAGGTCAATGTAGTAAGGGTCATTTCGTCTGAATATATCTTTTCTTAATCATTAAGTGACTTTTCGAATAGCGAATGAAACGGGAAAGACAAAATAAGTGCGGACGGCAGCGGATGAAACGACAGTATTTCGAACTCAGCATGAAAAGAGAAAGGATGAAATGGCACTAAGCCAAGGGAAGGCATGCCTTCGTGGAGGATGTTTTTTAAAGAAAACTCGCTCGTAAACATGTTACGCAAGGGGAAAACCACGAAAGCGCCCATGCAGTCAGCCTTTCCAAAATTTGAACCCTAGACCGAACTACCAGTGTTCAGCGTTTTTACCGCTTGGCCGCTGGTGAGGCTTGTGCGTACATGAAAAGCTTAAGAATTGGATGAAAGATGCTTTCTTAATGTTTAACTTTTATTTCATTTTTTATTAATTTTTATTCATCTAACTAATTATTTTTTCCGATATTTGAACTTTTTCTCAGATTTATTTTCAAAGGAACAATGTCTCGAAAGTTTTGCGAATCGAAAATAAATGATTAGGTCTTAGATGAGATACGTTCTACCAATCAAAAAAATTTCACGTTTAGAATGTAAGTGTTATGCAAGTTGTTATGTATACTGCTTATCTCAACAAATGCTCAAATTTGTTGTTGTTGAAATCAATAGAAAATTTTTTTTTATGAAACTAACCCCAATAAAATGTAGAATTTTGTTTAATTTTTATGTTTGAATGTTAGCTTCAAGAATGGAGCTAACAAACAAGTTATGAGGTCTAATCGTTCACGGGAGCATACAAATTGTCAGTGGCCTTCTGTAAGAACGCTGGTGACTTCTCACTAGTCAACAGAGTCCGCCGAGGGGTAAAGTTGCGGAACACTCGTAGTTCAGTCCGAGTTTTGACTCTTGCAGATGGGCTGGCTGCATGGCGTTTTCGTGGTTTTCCCCATGTGTAAGTTGTATACTAGCCAGTTCTCTTAGAAAGTCTTCCACGAAGGCATCCCTCCCCTCAGACAGGCTTTGCCATACTCACATACACCAACCAAACCAAACTCACTAATCAACAGGATGTACAGTAACAATAAGAATAAGGATAAAGGTTGAAACCTTTTATTCAAGAGAACTATTTAGAAGAGTACACCTCGTGCTTAAAATATAGATCACTGTTTGTGGTGTTATATTACGTAGAAATAAAGGAACCACCTAATATTTACCCAAAGTAAGTAGACATTAGCTCTACACACTGACTAGAAAACCAACAACCTTCCGGTGTCCTCGAGTCATGGTGAAATTGTGACTCCACTCAACATTGCAAGTTCTGCCACCGCCGGGCGTTAAATTAGATTAAGCAAAATGCATTATATTACATGGTATACATAACGATACATAGTTGTACAGGTGCATGTTTTATTGCGTTATTTATTGTAATGGGTACAGGCATCATGTTTCAGGACATACATACTCCAGTAGATAAAGTCGTGATGAAGATGATAAATGCGTGATGTAGATCAGTGTTTCACAACCGAAGGTCCGCGAAATATCCAGCTATCTGTCCGAAAATTGTGCTAATGGGTCGAATTATTAAACTTCTCGGTCCTCGAGACCGGTAGTTGGTAGTAATCCAATTGAGAAATACTGATGTAGATGATGTTCTTTTAGGGCGTGTTTGCAAACATGATCTGTTTACTATCAAAATTAAGTTGGCACTATAATATTGTTTACAAAGCTTATTCTGCATATTTATGCTTACTGCTTTCATTTAAATATTGTTGTATAGATGTGCAGATACTTCAGCCATTCAGTATTGACGAATGAGTTGTTAAAGTATCAGGTAACCATACAACAATACTTAAATTGTCGTTTTGATATTTTAACAACTCAATCGACAAAATGTTGAGTTGCTAAAGTATCAGCACAACTAATAAAGGCACAATAACACGCCGAATAAATACTAATTCAGAAGTCAAACCAAAAAAATCAGCATTATATTTACAAAATTTTCACAGGATTAGTTTCAATGGTTTTACCGAACCACCATCCTCAGCTGCATATCAAAATCATATCAAAGACTGAGTACATCGAGGTGAAATACTACATTTAGTAAGGAATTATAAGCCAAATAAAATAAAAACATCTGCCCTGAAGATAAGGATAGTGCTGACGTATCAACTTCCAATTCTTTGCGCGCTGCAACGTTAAAGATAAGCAAAGTTTAGATAAACAAACGTTAAAGTTTAGATAAACAAAGGATATGCCTTTATTCATTTTTTGCAGCAATTCCACTTTTTGTTTAATGGACTTCAAAACATACTTTCGCTTTGTAGATCCTTTACATATTAGTAAATATAGATCAGAAATTCTTTGACATAATCGAAAGTTCAAGCTTACTTTTATAAAATTGCTCCAACAGTCTGCAAAAAATAATAAGCCGAATCCAATTCGAAGATTAAGGAACAACACAATCTGCAACATTAACTGAATTA